AGTTGGAAAATCTTGCTATAAAAGGCAGCTTAATAAACTGTAACCGGTACGTTTAGCGTTTGCACTACAGTTTAGCTTGAATTGCTATATATTTCAATTTTTGATGAGAGACTCGCACAAGTGTTTCTCCAGTTCCATAATTGTAACCAATAACTCATTCACTAATTACTTATGGTTAGTCATATTAAAAAGCCACGAACTCAGTCACCTGTTAACCTGATGACTGACAGCGCGTATATGCTTGAAACAATGAGCAACACAACTCACACGAAATATGGAAGTGAGGTGCACAGCTTGCCAATACACCGAAGGCGTCGAGCTGCCGTGTCACTACCATCTACTGTGGCTGAAACTGAAGGCGAAAATATGCCTCTATAAATTCAGCACCTGGTCCTGAAATAAACCTCTTCACTTCACCTTATGCACGCGTCACAAAACTTCAGATACCAAGTCCAGCTCCAACACTTACTTCAGAAATAGAACGACTAAAGCTGTCTGTAGAAGAACTGAAGTCTGAGATGCGGGACGTAAGGTGTAGTAAAGTTATGAATGCAGGATTTTCAGAACATTTGGCCAACTTATCTGAACTATCAACAGAGATTAGTGATGTAAAATCACAGGTCTGTGAACTTGCACCTCTGAACATTTTGACCAGGACCATAAACCCTGGGTAACTTGACACAGAATCAGTAACTAAGATAGACACCTTGATAAACTTCATCACAACTGGGGTTATCAAAAGACTAGATACTAAACTAAGTGTGATAGTCTATGATATAACAGATAATGATGAGTTGAAAAAGGTTCAAAGCATCTTACTTAGGGCAGCGCAAAGGCCTAACTCCAGAACAAAATGTCATAGACTAAAGAAGAGTCAGCTCGACCACTGCTGTCCTATACGCCTTTAGTTTGAAACTCAGACAGAGGCTAAGAAACTCACCAATACACAACGTACACCATTACAGAACAAGAGCTACACACAAATGAAAGTTCTAGCAGATAAGAGAGTGATTGAAAGGCGTGCTTACAATTACCTCACTAAATCTAATGGTAAGAAGGGCAGAACACCGCAAATTACCAAATAGATAAACCCACGACCAACACGGTAGAACTCATAGCCTCTCCCCTCTCAAATCTCACAGAAGTAGCTCTACAGAACACGACGCCGACTGAGAGACTAGTGAATTATACTCTTACTCCTAAATTAGCCCTTCCACCCTCTACCGTGGATCTAGATATGTCTCTGAATTCGATTCCTTTCGTAAGTCGACAACATCCTCTCCTAGCCATAACGTGAGAATTCAAATGGAATTCGGTAACAAAGCATGCTGAAATGTACCACTTGTTACGGAAAATCCCTAACATTTTCGAACTCCTAAGAAGAATCCTTGCTGTAAGGTAAATAATGTACAAAACTCTGCTAATAACCACATAAAAAACAGAAATCAGGCCATACTGTCCACGGACAATAATGACATAACATGCTCGCATACGATATCAAGTCACACTAAAGCCCACAGTAACACCTGGTGCAGCGACACCATCACGCAAAATGGTATAATTTGCAAAACTCACAGCTCAGCTCCCAACCACTTTAGGTCTTCAAAGTATGACACACAAACAAAGGTTGACAGAATATATGGCACAAGTCCTCTGGGAATCAGACCCCAATGCAGCAATGCATATAATGAAACCGATGTAAGGACACTTAAAATGTCTCCAACAATTAATAAGTCATGAGCATCACGGGGTACCAATGATTTTTTATCCGCCACATCCCTGTCAGCGCTGACCAAACAACTGGTGGGGGTGTTAACTCTTCTGAACCCATAGTACTTATGTCGGCTTCCTATCGGGAAGAAAACAGACCCAGTCTAGTGCACACGCAGTTATCAATCATATCCAATGCTTGTACAAACAAAGGTCAAATAATAACTTCTACTCAAGTCTCCGACAAACAAAAGTCTAGAACTACCTCATCCTATAGTGAATCCAATAATAAAACCATTCACTAAAAGAAGTAGATAGTAACTCGACAGACATAGGTGAACATGGAACTCACACTAATTGTAACACAGGGTTGTTATGCCATGTAAATCAGTGGATGACGAACCACAATCGAGCTTGATTAACTGGCTTAAATACTTCAGACATTACTTCAGCTGTCCACTTTACGTAATCCTAATTAATGCTAGATCTATCCTAAACAAACTACCGATGCTCAGGGCACACACTTTGGTATATAAACCACCAGTAATTATTATTATTGAGTCTTGGTGTCACTTCAATATACCAGACGAAGAGATAAGCATCGATGCGTACACACCCTTTCGATGTGACAGGAAGAGTGGCAACGGAGGGGGCTACCTAATGCACGTCCTGAACACACTGTTTTACAGCTAGTAGATTGGGAACTCAACGATATGTACGACATCTTATGGGTCAAAGTACACTTCAAAATTGCTACACTACTAATAGCATGTATCTACATGGCACCTGGCACCTTTTTATGATTACGAGACTCAACTCATTAATGCACTAGAGCAAGCATCCACTGTTCCATACGAGCATAATATCATATGTGAAGACTTCAAACTACTCGAAATCAACTGGGATTTATTCACAGGCCCAATTAAAGGGAATTCATCCCAGATAGGAGACAGAGGGTTTAGATCAACTCAAAACTCACCCCTTGGACAACAGTGCCTAGCGGTGTGCCACAAGGTACGCTGCTCGGATCTTTCCTATTTACTATGTATATCAATGAGTTATCTCTGCATACCGATTCCCCTATGGTCCTATATGCAGATGACTTAAAAATCTGTAGAGAGTTAAAGGGTGACATTGATACGCCCACCTCGCAGAAAGACTTCAATAAATTGTCAGAGTGGTGGATGCTCCCTATTAATGTAGCGAAGTGTGCAACCCTGCGCATTGGACACGCAGGCATCAGCTTCCACAAGCTAGAGGGAATAACACTCCCATCATTTCAGACTCATTTGGATTTAGATGTAATAGTAAGTGACGTTTTAAAATCTACAGCACACCGTGGCGTGGTGACTGTTTTATATCCTTATGAATCACCAGAGATAGATTCACCTCCTTATGGTGAGGTCAAGACTGGAGAACTGTATCCAGACAGACAGTCCTTGTCTTAAAGGGACTAACTTGTTCTATAAAGGGTCCAAAGGAGGTTCTCGTCATGACCAACTTATCATAGGGGGAAAGACTAGAGAGTTCAAATCTCTTCTCCCTATCATACCGTAGTCAGAGAGGAGATTTAATCACGATGTTTAAAATTTTAAATAATGACTGTGGACCTGATCTATTCTCTATCTTCCTCCCCAACAGTTAGGAACACCTTAGAGGACATAGTAGGAAAGTTCAAAAGTAGCGAAGAAACCATTTCGGTGTTGAGTACTGGTCCTCACACCGAATCATAAACTCCTGGAACTGACTCCCAGAAGAAGTGATGTAAGCAACCACAACTGATTCATTCAAGAAGAGTTTGGACAACCACAGAAATTTAATAGAAAAGGTTTTACATAGGCTGCAAGCCTTCTATTTTTCAACCAGTAAATCTGAATCTGAAATCTGATACTGTATGCTGAACATTTAGTGACCTGGAGGTCGTGCACTTTTCAAATACTGGCTTCACGTGTAAGGGTTTTTTGATCATTGGTGATATTCTAATAGCTACCTTTATTTTTGCTATAAAACTTGACTGGCTCACTTAATTCAACAATATGCGTAATTTTTTCAGAGCAAAATATCTTATATCAATTCTTATCATACAGTTAGCAAAGAATATTTGTGTTCGTGCGAATCTACAAGAAAATTGACTCATTGCGACTGAATAAAGTAATGGTGATGGAAGTCTTTGACAATCTCTGCATATGTTTTGTGTTGTTTCACGCTTAGGCGTGGGATAAACTATAGCAGTTATTTCGGTGCCTGACCGTTGACAGTCATTGCTAGTTACGAGTATTATAACCGAATTAAATTGGGCCTTCATTTTTGAATTCGCTTAAAAAATTCCATGGAGATTGAGTGTTTCATTATTGTGTTAATAATGGACCTATTGGGGTTACCGAAACATGCATATATACGGGGACAGCTGGTCTTTTTCGGAGGGGGGGGGGGAGGATTCGGATTTGGGGTGAAATAAAGAATAAATGTAAAAAATGTGCGCATCTGACAACACCAATGACTATTGTCATCTTTTTAACAATTTTGCCACCTTTTTGGTTGCTTAATTTTATGGAGTAAGTTGGGCTTTATGTCTTGTGAAAATCAGTGTTAGATACTAATTTTATCTACAGTAGAGGAGAAACGCTCACGAGCTGCTTCCTAGCTACACGGGTCCTCGGGACGGTAGAAACCAATGGTTGGAAACAAGTGGTGACATGGCTCAAGATCGTTCTCAATGGCTGGTGCAGATGCATCCACTCCTTGTGACTTATGATTTCCAATGAAACTGTTTTGTTCTTCGTTATCACTATTCCTTTGTCTCACACCTCTGTTTACTGTCTCTAATATGCATTTCTCCTACTTTCTTCTCTTGCTTTGTGTGCCACATGGAGTGTACCGACTTGAACTGCCGCACATCGGTGCAAAGTTTTATGTCGAAAACCGAGCGACCGACCTTCCTAGCTACACATGGTTATCTGTTTATCTTAGATCCAGGATTAGGTTACACGATTGTGGATAGCCAGCGTTGTTGCTTAAATTGACATGTCCTAGTTTTAAATAAGTCTTAGAGTTATGTCAGATAACATTCATTATTTAATCAACTTTGCGTACACTTTAAAATTACCCATCAGGAATTGTTTTTTTAGATGACATATCTTACCGACCTTATTTAGATGATCATTCCTGAGAAGGGAAATACTTTTGTAATTCCAGAGCGGGCAACATCTAACATTGATAGAATATATAATGAATTATTTAACTCCCTTATTATTAAAATAAAATCTGACCTCTTCTCTACTCCTTTTTAGCGATTTTTGTTCAGACACTGCTTTCTGTTCTGAGCAAGTTCTAAGCATTCAAGACAAGGCTTGGAGTATCAAGCCATACCTCTCAAAGTCAGATTAAAATGAGTGATCAGGCGCTATCCTTGATGTGAGTCTATAAGAAAAGAAACTTTAACTTCATTTAATCTAGCCTCTGCTGCAAATGCGGTGTTCAAATACATTCGAATACTGCAAATATGTGCTTCACATGCTTATCCGGTGACGCAGATATCGCTGCTCATATTGATCGCCAAAATACTATAACATTTTGCCCAAAATGCGAACGGTAAATTGCGTTATTATTATTATTTAAGGGTTGCAGTTATTTGAGTCCTCCATCTAACTGGATATGTGCTGAACCAGAGTCTCCGGAGTTACTTGCATTGTGTATCAAAAGGATTCGTGGGTTAAAGAAGGGTTTGGATGTTCGGAGTGCTAGATTCATCTGGACCGAGCCTCATAGTAGAAGAATATCCATAGAGGTATTATTCTGTTTGCTACAGCTCTTGGTGTTTTGTAACTGTATGCATTTAGTGAATTCGTATTGTCTGGGACTGTTTAACTCGTCTTAAAATATTTATGAACGTCGTACTGAATCGCACTTTTTGTCGTAAGTGTATAGAAAAAGGACAATCTTAGTGATCTTTAATAAGTTCTGTAAACACCACAGTTATCAGGCTGACACAAAACTACCTACCTATACTTGTGGATCTCTGGCTGATTGTATCAAAACAGAAGCCGTATACAGTGAGGATAATAACTGGATAATAAAGGGTACTAATTGTATGGAACTGAAACTGCTTTGCCTGAAAATCGTACGTGGTTTAGCAAGATTCTTTAGTATTCACAATGATCTCTAGTGTAGCCTAGTTAACTTGATGTGTATAAGACTTGAAAAACAGAATCAATTGATTGATAAAGGACATTGAACATGATAAGTAGAATGCTTATGATAATATCTCAACAGAAAGTTGATTGAGCAATTCCATCATCATCATTACTTAAAGATGCTTCATTTGTTTGGTATTTGATAGTTTTTCAGACGGATAGAGAATACCAATATGTCACAGTATTACTGTGTAGCAGTCTAGGCTGTACTTCCGTATACATTTTCTAAAGACGAATGAGACTATCTATACCTTTGTGAAGTCCAAGTATGATGAAAGTATGAATCTTGAAATTAGTTCTGAATGCGTTTAAATATGGTTACACTCCTAGAGGTATTTATATTAGATTTTATATGGCGTGCCTCTTATAGGCTTTCCATTATGGTACTGCTGACTTCAAAATGAAATATTTAGCTTTTACTATTGAAAAGTGCTTTGGACCATTTATTGTTAACAACCTTTTCATCCTTCCAGGTTCCATGTCAATACATCAGGACGTGTGTACTGCTCAGCAGCCCGCTCCGTCTTCCTTCATGGTTGTAAGTGAGACGTGGCCAATGAAAGTGGAAGACATGAAAAGGCCGGCTAGCTCTCTTTGATCACAGGTGCATACGTTCCATCTCCCGTGTGAAGTGGTATAATAGGGTGAGCAATATTAAGGTTAGGCTTCGAGTGCTGGGCTAAGTAAGGAGGGGAAATCATTTGACGAGGTTGTGAAGTTACATCTACTGAAAGAGATGGTTAGGACATGTGTGACGTATGCCTAGCCATTGATCGCCTTTCTCGACAACCGGTAATGTTAACTGTCATAGGGTCAGGTTGTAAAAGAGCCAGTGGTGGTCAAACCAAAACCAACATGCCTTCATCAGTCAATGAAATCCACAACAGTTAGTTTAAGCCACGTAGGAAGGTGTAGACTTCCTGGTTGCAGTCATTAAGAGGGTAAAAACCAATGGAGGCTAGAGACAATTGGTGATATGGCTCAAAATCATTGTCAATGGCTGGCGTAGATGCATCCACTCCTTGTGACTTATAATATCCAATAAAACTATATGGTTCTTCAATATTACTATTCTTTTTGCCTCATATCTCTGTTTACTGTCTCTGTTTTGAATCTCTTTTTACTTTCTTCTCTTGCTTTGTGTGCTAAGTGAAGTGTGGCGACTTGAACTGTTGCACATCGGTGCAAAGTTCTATGTTGAAACTAGTCAGTCGGTTAATCCATCATATCTCAAAGTTGACCACGATTAATAATTTGTATTCATCAGATTGTCTAGAATGCATTCTGTCATTAAATAGTCAGTAGTACAACTGGATCTCGTCTTTCCAACCCACATCATCAATAGGTACAACATTTTCTTTCTTTCTGTTCCTTTTCTCTCTCTTCTTTTTCCGTTATGTGCTGCTTTGTCTCTTTCTCTCGCTTACGCCAGTTAATTAGACAGCTCCCACTTTTTTAACACCTTCAAACACTGTTTCAGCTTTACCTTTGCTACTGACATGCCAATGTATTGTTGTAATAATGAACCGTGGTTTCCTCAATCTATGTAGAATTCTATTTATTGATAATTTACTAACTGGATGCAATACTGTAGTAAAAATGCTGAGAATTCCATTCTGTATCACAAGTACTGTTTTGGAATAAAGCAAATTATTATTATTATGTTACATAGACAGTCAAGAGTGTCATACTGTTTCTATACTATCGAAAATAAGTGCATCACTATCAACATTTTTTAGGTACATAATGATTACAATATTATTGAATGGTTAGTTGATATCTGATGCATAGTTCAAAGATATTTAATTCACACGACACATTCCTTCCTGACGAAATCTCAGCACGGATCCAAAAAGCTCGGGCTGCTTTCGCTAACTTACACCATCTCTGGCGTAGGCGTGACATCCGAATATCAACCAAGGGACGTGTGTACTGCTCAGAAGTTCGCTCCGTCCTTCTCTATGGCTCTGAAACATGGCCAATACGAGTTGAAGACATGGAAAGGTTGACTGTTTTTGATCATAGATGTCTACGATCTCTTTCTCACGTTAGGTGGTATAATAAGGTAAGTAATGTTGACTTTAGGCTAGAGTGTTGGGCAAAGAGGGAAAACCAATCAAAGAGGCTATAAAATTACGTAGATTGAGATGGCTACGTCACGTGCCGCGCATGCCTGACCATCGCCTCCACCGACGGGCATTATTAGCTGATATAGGTGCAGGTTGGAAAAGAGTAAGTGGTGGCCAAACAAAAACATGGCCTCATCAATCCATGAAATCCTTGACAGTTAAACTGAGTCAGGTAGGGAGATGCAGACTTCCGGGATGGGGTCCTCGGGACTCTAAGAATCAATGGCTGGCGACAATAGGTGACATGGCTCAAAATCGTTGTCAATGGCTTACGAAGATGTATTCAGTCTCTGTAATCTTTCATATTCCTTTCTACCATTACTCATTCTGTTTCACTCTTATACTTGTCAAAACTCTATTGATTCTCTTCACTCATTTTCTTGTCTACCTTTGTGTGCTCTTTGGAACGTGGCAACTCGAACTGTTGCACTTCGGTGCCAAGTTCTATGTTGAATCCAGCCAGCCAGCCTTCCTTCTATTGCTTTCTACTTGATGCTCGGATGCTAAGCCTGTCGACACAGTGATCTTATACGTACTATGTCTGACTGACTGGCTGAAGTAGAGGGAGGCATGAAGTTGCGGTTGCATTATTAATTTTTCTCTAAGGGAAACACCCCCTTCTAAAGGTTTTGGAAGTTTTTGCTGTTCTTCACGGCTATTAGCTTGAAAACACTGTTTCAAGTCGACAATAAAACGCTCATGAAATATGCTTGGATAATATTTAAAAATGGCTTTCCTGATGGAGCCATGGGCTTTTTGAAATACCACTGTCTGATAATAAGGTTAGAAACTTGTTTTTTTCATAGTATTTTATCCACTGTAAATAGAAGTATACTTTAATATCGTATCATTAATCAGGTTAAGATTTCCAGTCTTAATGATTCGTTATCTTCGTTTAACTATATACAGTTTTAAATATTATGTCATGGTCGTTTGAAATCTTTCTTTGTTGTTGAATTATTGGTTAGGTAACTGTACATGGTGCATTGCAAACTGGTGATCTTGTTGAGCAACGAATTCCTATTGATTTTACAGTTCACTCACAACAGTGTACTGCATGTACTCGTAACGCTGCCAAGGATTATTGGAATGCTTGTGTTCAAGTTCGTCAGAAGGTAAATTCTCTTCATGTGTGTAGTGTTTATGAGTTAATCAAACATTCACCGATCAAGTGAGAATATTGAGGGCCCGCAATAAAGGCTTTATTCGTTTTATAATTCCAGTATAGAATCTGGTTTAAACAAAAATGAAAGATGTGAATAGTGTATAATATAAATGCTAAACGTTTATGAAAATGTTCACACCACATTCTTCTCCCCTTTTGTTTGAGAATACAGAGCATAAGGAGTCAAGACTTTTAAAATTGTTTAGACTTCGCGGCTTCTCAGATTGTATGGACGAACCCTTCGTTGTTTCTCTAGTAAAGAAGATGGGTTCGGATCAATTTTGACATTTTCACTTAAATTGTCCGTCAAAATAGGAGTCTCAGTATCTGTAGAACGGGTGGATATGTCGTTTTCAGTAAGTTGATTTTGGAGGCATTCTGGTACTGCGTCTGGAATCGGCATGCTAACGGGCGATTGAAATATATGTTATTTTGGTGCAAGATGATGAATAGATACTGTTTCCTCACGTCCATCTGGAAGTCTCACATGAGCATACTTGGGATTACATTCAATCAGTTCAACTTCATCAACTGGAGATTCATATTTAGAACCTACATTACGGCGCATCAAGACCGGTCCAGGAATAGTTAACCAACTGGGAAGAGAAACACCAGACGTTGATTTTCGATTGTACCTGAACATCCGTTCGTGTGGAGTAGTATTTGTGGCAGTACATAAAAGAGAACGGATAGAATGAAGAGCGTCGGGGAGAACAACCTCCCACTCACAGATTGGTATGGACCTAGATTTAGCAGCTAGTGATATACATCGCCAGAGAGTGCCGTTGAGACGTTCAATCTGTCCATTTGATTGGGGGTTGTATGCTGTTGTTCTACTAGTAACTATTCCTTTATCGTGGAGAAAATGTTTTAATTCTGCAGACATAAACGACGATCCTCTGTCTGAATGCATGTAGGATGGCATACCAAACAGGGAAAACAACTGGCACAGGCAATTAATAATAGTTGATGCTGTCATATCCTGGCAAGGAAAAGCGAACGGAAATCTAGAGTACTCATTAATTATCGTAAGAAGATATTTGTTCCGGGAGTTTGAAGGAAGAGATCTTTTGAAATCAATATTTAGACGTTCAAAAGGAGAAGTCGCTTTAATAAGATTTCCTGTGGATACTTTGCAAAACCTGGGTTTCAGCTCAGCACAAACTGCACAACTAGATATCGTCCTCTTCACACATATATATGTATATATATACTGTGTATATACTTTTTTTCAATAATAATGATAATAATAACTTTATTCTGGACAGCATTTATAAAATGTACAGAATTTTAGGAGGGGTTTATTGTATGAAATTTTCACTTTTGTACAATATCCTCAAGTAAAATATTAATAGACAGTTTATCCTGTGACACAATGGTCTCTGAGCTCAAGCATAAACCATTACATTATGATATATCTGCTTTGTCTCCTCCAAGAAATCCATGATAACAATCGAGTTGAAAGTCACTTGTAAGATGTACAAAAGTACATTTTGAGACCCAAGGACTTAAGTAAAGGACAGTTATCTGATGTATTGGAACACGTTGCCATCCACAATGAGACCTTCCTTCACATTTAGTAGGAACTTTCGAGTCAGGAGCTTGTAAACATTTTAAATACACACAAGAATAGATAATACTGTTAGAGGTCATATCTCCTTAATATTATTATTATTTTATTCCTTTACGTTCCCAGTGGAACGTCGGGCTGCTTCAGGCTTGAGCTTTAGAGTTTATTTACAGGATGGGGTTTCCAGCATCATGCCCAACCTTCCCTCTTTACGAGTCTTATTACCAGCTTAGTGAGGTATAGGGGTGCGTCGGTCGGAGGTCGAACGCCAAACGACCTACGTGGTTGGCGAGCATTCTACTGCTGTGCCACTGACACACATATTTTATCTGAATCGACTAAAACAAACCGAACGAGAGAAAATATATGCAGTAGAGAGATGGAAGTTTTTGGTAGCCCAAGTTTATTGTATAGTTTTCAGTGAAAATAAATCAGTTCTAGTTACTGTGATTGTTAGACAACTTATTGTTCATAATTCACTGGCTAAAAACAAAGCATTTTCATAGATGTAGTTTTGTGCCTACGTTTTTTTATTGGTGGGATTATTTAAAAATATTTTGCAAACTTTCGTTTTGAACATTACTGCAATTGGTTACAGGATTTTATCATGAGCTGACATTGGTTAGAGAACCATTGGAAAACCACCTGGTAGTACTGGACAGCTGCTTCGTCCTAGTTCGGGACTCTTCATCAGTATGCACCCACCCCGTTGGGGTTCGAACCCAGGACCTTCGGGTTAAAAGGTGAGCTTGTAGACCATTAAGCCACTGAGACCCGATCCAATGGCCAGTGCATGAATTCTAACTTCTGCCAATTCACGATATAACGCAACCGCTAGCCAATGTCTTCGGCGAGTATTTGTCCTCACACCTGACCTGCTGCACCCTACTGGTCACGACTTCCCACTGGAACCCCAGGTAACTACCTACCTGAATAGGGCCAGTTGCTAGTGAGCATCTCGTTGATATTCAAGTATTGGTTTGTAGGGATTTGGTTGATTGTCAGCTCATGATGAAATCCTGTAACCAATCAGTCAAATCCCTACAAACCAATACTTAAACATCACTGTAATTGTTGTCTGTTGTCATCAGACAACTCAAATGTTAAAAAAACTTATTTACGTTCACTGTGTTTAATATTTTCGCGCCTTGGGTAGTCATTCTTATCCAATACGATCTCTTGTCCTTCATTGTCTCACTGGAAGCACTGATGGTGCACTTATGTGTCTTGCTCTCATCGTTTGATGTATACTCTTTGAAGTATCTCTCAATTCTATTTAATTTAAGTATATATTTATGAGTATCTTTGCCGCTTAGAATAATAATTTATACGTTATTTAGGTGCATATGTATCGGTGGTTCGGCGGTAGAACGCTCGCCAACTGCGCCACACGTGGTCAGGGGTTCGATCCTCGGCCGATGCATTCCTTCACCTCACTAAGCCGGCAAAAGCTGAAGCTTGAAGCACCCCGATGTTCCACTGGGAACGTAAACGAACAAAATAAATAAATAATAAAAATATTTAAGTGCATGCCACTTGGTTTTTTCCCAGCAGCAGCAAAAACGCTTCTTATTTGGTTTCTTCCACCAACATATGTAATTACAATCCAATAGAGTGTTCTATCACATCGAGAAACCAACGCGTTTCTTGTACTGTGATTGGAGGTGCGATCCGCACAGTCTCCGAGCTTATATTGATTTTACCGGGCCAGCTAGCTGCTTTTAAAAATCAGTTACTTGAAATAGGATTTTCGTATGAGGGCCTGAAGATGCTACTCAGTTGGAGGGGTTGAGGTAAAGTAGATCCACTAATTAAAAGTCGAGTGCTTGAGCCACGTAGCCACACTAACCAGTACTATGTCTTAAAATGATTTTACTTAAGAAATTTCATACTTCACACAATTCCTGTCTACCGTTAAAACATTATTTTTCGCCTGAAATCCGTGAAAGTAGTATCACCTTATAATATTTACTTCATTATAACGAAATCAATCACATCCCGACATTATTGTACCATTCAAGTTTCAATGGTTTTCAACACTTTTAGAAAAGTCTGTTTCAGCAGTTTTATTTATGTCTTGCATTTCATAACTGTCTTTTTAAATGAATAACCACGTAGTGAAATGACATTTGGGTGCTGGTGGGGTGGCCACACACACAACTCGTGATATAGTTAAAATTATGGGGCGCCTGATATTGGACCTATTTTGAAACTTTATTATGTCTGTAAGTGTTAATTTCAGAGGAATTGGGAGTTTAGTCAACTTGTCCGCCAGGCTTTCAAATGCCATTCTATCGGCTTCAATCTGTGCAACCAAGCGGTACCACCGATGCATATACGAGAAGTCAAACTCAAAGAATTTATTTGTTTATGATTTGTTTCAGGTTATTGTGCACTAAAGTTCATATTTTTTTATTACTATTTTGTAGGTGGATCATAAAAAGACATTGCTACACTTGGAGCAAGTTATCCTTCGGTCTGGTGTACACAAAACTTGTTCCAATATTAAGCAGGTTTCAGGTAGGTATCAGCAGTGAGTATGCGTGTGTATAACTTCAGTAAATTGTAGTCGTAGGCAGAAAGATAAGGCCTTCATTCTCTCATAATTAGTAGTTCCCAGTTTTCCTATCTGTCTTCCTAAGTTTTTATGAATAAGCTATTATGCTTTCTTGACTAATTAATTTTAAGTGACTTGCGTATTGATGTAAAGACTTGACTGTCACTTCCCTGTCACTGTCACACAAAGTCTCAAAATTTGTGTAATGCTGGGATACATATTCCCAGGGGGCCCAGAATGAAGCAAGTGGATGTTATAAGGGACCACGCTAGACGAGCCCGGGACTTCAGACCTGGTCCACAAAAGACTGGGACAGAGTCAGGAACTACGTTCTCATCGTTAGCAGCGGCTAAAACAGGTTCGTACGTCATTCGATCATTTCAGACTTTGGAGCCCACGTACACCTCAGGTTTGTAATCAGAGTTTTCCTGCTTCCCTAGGTAGACAAGCTCGTCAATCATTTCGGTTGTAAGCGCCAGACATTCTAATTCGCTCTTTCACTTTTGTGTGAAGCACTCCTGCCGCATGAAGACAGTGGATAGGGCTGTCGTAACAGAGTCTATGAGAGTGTGGCCACTTGAGAGCATTTCAAGAGAACGACAGAAGTCTATGCACGCTTGGCTCTATCACAACGTATATGGGAGCGCTTTTCACAGGTTGAGTTCGAACATGCTGATGTGTATATACTTCCGAACAATCAGACACTAGTAGCAGTAGTGTTGAGTGTAGAGATGTGGCCGATTGGCTTAAACGCACGGCTTCCAGCCAACTAGTTCCGGGTTCGAATCCCTCTTCGCCCACTTCAGTTTGGATACTTTGGTTGCATCATCAGCCTCTCACAGCAGTAATCTTTATCGCATAACTGAGTTCTCACCAGGTTTCCAAGTGGCCCACTTTATATCTGTACCTCAAGAAGCAGATATTAAAAACGAAGCAAGTAGGCGGAAGTAATAAATTGGATTGCTATTTGTCCAATGAAGAAAACATAGAGCAAGTAAAGGAATAGGATATTTACATCAAGAGAAGGATAAGGTCTGAATGTAACTCGGCTGCTGGATTTGGTTCTAATTCAGCTAACCGTTAACCATAAGGATTGGTGGTCATGTAGAGGGAAACAAGGTAGTTTACACATGATACAGACCAATAGTAAGTGAATTGGTTGATTGTTGATCCCCTTCACTTCCGCCTAGGTAGACAGTGAGTCAGCATGCGTAACGTGTGCTCTAGTCATCCTAGAAGATGACTACTCACTTATTATTCGACATTTAACGTTTACATTAGTCACGTGTTTATTCTAGCTTATAAACTTGCATCTCTTGTTATGGTTTGTATTTTAGTGTATGTGATAATCTATTCACCGTCTGTGTTTGTATTTTTTAATATGCGGTTTCAAGACCGTGTGGTTATCCTTGTTAGTGGTTAATTCCTCTTCTTCTGAGAGTAAAATTCGACTAGGTTATCGTATTTTTCATGTTAGGCGATATTTCTTCATATTCCTGCAAGTTGATGCTCTCTAGTGACTTGCTACAGGATGGAGTTTCCTGGAGTTCTAGTGAGAAGTCGTGACCAGTGAGGTCCAATCAGTCAAGTGTGTGAGGATGGAGTTCCCACCGATGACATTGGTTGGTGGTCCCTCTAAATTACGAATTGGTAGAAGTTAGAATTCATGGGATGGCCATTGAATCTGGTCCCAGTAGCTGAATGGTATACGATCTTGCTTTGTAACCGGAAGGTCCTGGGTTCTAACCCTGTGTGGTGGGTGCATACTGCCGATGATTGCCATACTAGGATGAAACAGCTGTCCAGTACTCCCTGGTTTCCAGTGGTTCTGTAACTGATATCAATCCGTGGTCAAACTCGTAATTTCAAACAATCATGTATATTTTGTAAGTGATTATGTGAGCAGTTTAAGTGGACAAACATTCTAGGGCTATGTATCTTCCTTTTATGTGTACTTACAAACACTACAACGTTGTGAGTAGCTAGACACATTGGTAGAGTGGTTAGGACTCTCGCCGACCATGCACATGGTCAGGGGTTCGATCCCCTGCCGAGGCACACTTGATATCTATGGTCGGCCTGTAAAATTTGGGCTACCGATATCCATGCTGAAAATTCCATACTTGTACCGAAAATGTGGTATGGCATCAAGCTGTAATCAAAAATAAAAAATAAAAATAAATAAATAAAATAGTTAGATAATTAATAATATTCCAATACTTCATTGCGAGAATTGTAATAAGATTATATAACCACAAATCATTTCAGGAAGCACGAACCAAATTTTTTAATTTTCTTTCAGCTAGACTTTTACCAGAGTAATTAATGATATCAACTTCAGTTCGTCCATATTCACCCTTATTTCTACTAGCTTAACATTATTTTTTCACCTATTTGGTCCTCGGTTCGAGTCTCTCTCCATCTACTTCATCCTGGGCTGCTGGATGGTATCATTAGTTTTCAACTATGCAGCAATGCGCAATCACCACTCCACGTGATATTGAGCTCAATAGCTTTTGGTTCTCATAGTGAACACGTCACTAACCAATTAGTAGGACAATTTCTGGTAGCTTTTTTCTGCAAGTACCAGTCTTTCATGTAGCCTGATCACCATACATCGTGTGCATACATCTTAATATTAGACCTTGTCCTAAAGTTTTTACTCCCAACAGTTTTCTCTAATTTTTCTAATTTTCTAATTTTTACGGAGTCATAGTTACTAATAGTGTGTTGTTTTTATTTTTGACTTTTAGGTGGTATTGACTTCTTTTTCAGCACACGTTCACAGGCTGCTACTTTTGTCAACTTCCTTTCCAAACGTTCACCTTGTCGGTAAGTGTCAACACCACTATTCCGTATTTATCATTCGCAATTTTCCACTGGTCCTATGAATTTTATTTAGGTGTTCTCCATCATTTTACGTGATCGGTGGAGAGAAACCTTCGCTGTACATAATTTTGTGTTCTCTTGTCATTTTTTTCCTTCGAATCGTTGCATGCTCTGCATAATCGCGTCTGTTCACTGTATTTTTCTTTACGAGGATATAGTTAATCGGCTTAACCACTCGGTTTTTATTTTTACGAGTTGATAACGGATTGATATCAGTTAGAGAACCATTGGAAACCAGGTAGGAGTACTGGACAGCTGTTTTATCGGCAGTACGCACCCACTGGGGTTTGAACCCAGAACATTCCAGTTACGAGGCAAGGTTGTATACTATTCAGCCACTGGGACCCGATTCAATGGCCATCCCATGAATTCTAACTTCTACCAGCTGTCCATTACTCCCTGGTTTTCAATGGTTCTCTAACTGATATCGATCCGTGATCAACCCTTACAAACCAACTATAGAAAACTCGGCTTTTAGCCAAGGGGCCCTAAGTTCGAATCCTACTCCGTGTGTTTCAATCCCTCATATCCTGGTACAGTAATGACCTGTTCCGAATGGTTGGATTCAAACAACAAATACGCTACACTTTTCAATCCAATAATTTGATGTCTGCTGAGTTGTCTTGGCAGTTTTGTCAATGTTTGATACTACGACGGTATTTTTACTGTATTGAATTCACGCTTTCCTCACGGAGTTTTCTCTCTCATTAATATACAGTCATGTGGTGGTCACATTAAGGTTACATAGTTGATTTTATTTACTGAGTTAAAAGAATAATAATTATTAAAAGGAGAATGATGCTCAGAAAGGCTTCTTGTGCTTTTGGAAGTGTATGGGCGGTTGCTACTTCCCGGCTGCACACACCGTGGAAGTTGATTGACTCTTCGGGTACCTGGAACAGAAAGAGGGTTAGTGTTGGGTGACCACAGAGTCCAGGGGACAACTGCTTGAGGCCGGTCACACACGGCCTGTATAAGCTGGTTTCTGGTATTAGTTCCGTATTATTAAACTTTCCGCCGGTTAGGGACGACGCCAGGGTAAGCTGGGATGTACAATTTTTGGGGTCGACCTTTTGTAACCCCCTCTCTTCAGAGTGAAGAGACAGCATGAGTGGCTGACATGCTGATCGTCTGAGGGAAACACCTTACTGCTGTCGCATCCCTGTTTCTCAGCAGTACTTTGTTGCTCACAGACTCCCAGCATAGTGTAAAAAAGAAAAATTCTTACACCATGCCGGTAACTGGTTTTAGTTTAATCGCTATCCTAACAACCTTCCTAGCATGGTAGGACCTGCAGGAACAATAGTTCCAGCCATTGTAGCTTGTTGGTCATTGCGATACGCAAGCCCGACCACTACATCAGGGTAGCAGCAGCTATCGGTCGGGATAATTATTAAAAGGGTGGTTGCAGCGAAGAAAATTTTCTTTTCGACAAAGATATCAACTAGGCTGTACATAAGTGTATTTAATAGTAAGTGGGTGAGAAAGTTCCATAACTATTTCCGGTTAAGCGTCAAATTAATAAAATCATAAAGTGTAATAAATACGTGCCATGTCGAGTCGACTATATTGTCTGTACCATGCGCCTGGTTGTAAAATGCGCTCGGGAACACTATCCAGCATGATTAGCAAAGGGAGAACGCATGCGTGTACATAGTTCAGTAACAGAACATCAGGTGAATTCAACACATTCAGCTCCATTTGAAAAGTTTTTCAAAGTCATATACAAGATCCGATCTAACCTCTCTCAAAAGGAGTGAAATCACGACATCTGGGAATAGCTTAGGCACTAGCTACGCAAAAGTTCAAGCCCACGTTATATATATTCAAAAGAAATAACTCCAACCGTTATCCTTTTCATGAGCATCATAAAAAGTCACTCCTCTCATTAATGACTATCATCCTTCTACGTTTCTTATCCAATCTTCCTGTTTATTTTTGTAGTTTTCACGTTTATTTTTGAAACTCCTATCTGCATTACTATGTTTTTTATCCGAACTTTCTGACTATTTTGTTATTACTACGTCTTTAATCCCTAATTGTACAAAAAAGTCAAGTTTCTCGGTAATCACTGTGTTTTTTATCCGATCTTCGTGTTTATTACACTTTGTAATTTTGTTAATCTGACCCTTGACTGGAAATAGTTCTGGAGCTTTCTCACCCATTTACTCTATAAATACACAAATGTCTTGCCTAGTTGGATGACTTCATTGGAAAGAAAATTCTCTTCTCTGCAACTGTCTTCTTAATAATTCCTATGATCTAATGTGTACATTCCGAGACTTGTAATTTTTATCACTATGTTGAAAAGATTTTTGTGAGTTTTGCTCGTTAGTCAAATGACGTACTCGTGAATACTTTATAAGATGCGTAGTCGATCAAACAATGCATGTTGTGGTCTGTGTTCTCATTACTATTATTATTATTATTGTTTCCTTTAATTCCTGGAGCATCATAAGGCTTCGGCTGCAAGTCTCCATTGCGTTCGGTTCTCTGCCAACGTTTTCACTTGGCTCCACGTCTGCCCACATACTTTCGTCTCCTCTTCACATGACCTCCTCCATGTCACCCACCCTCGCACTGACGACCAGCTAGCCGCTTCCCATTCGGGTTGCACTCAAGCGATGGCCTGTCGTGTGATGTCACTTGATGGTTTGTTTTCTCAGAGTATGGCCAGTCCATCTCCATTTCTTCCTGCTTATTTGTTGCACAATCGGTTCCCGGTTGGTTCGCTCCCAGAGATCTCTGTTGCTGATCTTTTCTGGTCGGCCATCTGATCTTCAGTATTGAGCGAAGACAACTGTTAATGAAGGTCTGTAGTTTGTTCGAAGTGTCCTTCGTGACGTGGCACCAATTCTTTGATCCTAATAGTCGCACTGACTTCACATTGGAGTTGAAAATCGGGATCTTATTTTTCATGCTGACTACTGCTGTTAATCTCCACATAGACTTGAGAGAAATGAAAGCTTACCTTTCCTTCCCAATCCTTACTTTCATATCCTCATCATACTACTACTTTAGTTTTTGTTTCAACTCTAGTAATACTGGTCGTTTTTCTCAGAGACTGTTGTTCGCCTCATCCCCTCATCTAACAAACGATAGTTAATTTCTGTACCAGATAGTGTGAATAATTTCTGCGAGAAAATATAAGTTAGATACACAATAACTATGGCACTCTGTCTTTTCCTATATCATTCACACAAAGCTTGATGACAAACACTCCATTCTTAAATATCGAAAGCCTGGAGAAAATACTGACAATTTCGAGCGTGATAATGAGCCAGCCATTCATCTCTTACATTATTTCTTAATATACGAGTGTGTTACTCCATAGTTTTATACATTCAGATGTTTGTGTGTGTGTGTTTGCTTTTAATAGGTTTATCTAACATTGTCTTTTATGAATCCGCTTTTAGGTGTCAAACTGCACAACATTTAAAATCTCATGATGTACATAACAATACATACAATTACAAGTATACATTTTCTGTGGAGATTGCACCGGTTTGTAAAGTGAGTTTGTGGTGTTGGTAATATTTTAGTTGCTATAATTATTATTATTATTGTCACTATTAATACTTCAAATTAAGTTGCTTAACAGGGATAAAGTGCTTTCGAAAGTAGAGGACAATTCAGCGGAGAAATGTATTTACTAAGTGTCGGTCTGTAGGGATTTGATCGACTACAGGTTTGGCCATGAGCCGATATCAGGTAGAAAACCGCTAGAAGACCAAGGAGTAGTGGACAGCCGTCTTATGGCTATATGGCGAGCGTGTTGACTTTTCAGCCTCTGTTACCCCGATCCATTGGCTCATGGGTTCCAACTTCTGAGAATTTGAGATATATACATGGCGTAACCACCAGGCAGTGTCGTAGGCGAGTAACTGTTCTCTTTGCCGACTTGGTGGCCCCCGTTGGCTGCGACGACTTCTCTCTAGAACTCTAGGTAACTTCCTGCATAGAACCAGTCGTTGGTGTGCATCAGATTACTTATCAAGTGTTGATTTTTTCAGGGATTTAACTGGTTACAGGTGTGATTACAAGCTGACATCATTTGGAGAAATTATGTTTACCAACGATCTCATCTTTGAAGGTTGTACAATCCTATTTATACTTACTAGAATTTATAGCAATCTATTATTGAGTATTAGGGTGTCTGTGTGTGACATAAACGGGTTGATCTCTGACGAAATCTCAACATGAATACAGAGGGCTAGTTTCACATATGCCCGCCAGTTTACGCCGTCTCTGGCTTAGTAGACGTGATATCCGACTATCGACCAAAGGGCATGTGTACTGCTCAACAGTCCGCTCCGTCCTCCTTTATGGCTGCGTACGAGATATGGCCATTGAGAGTGGAAGACATGAAAAGATTAGCTGTCTTCGATCATAGGTGCCTGTCTGCGTTCTATCTCCCGCGTGAAGTGGTATAATAAGGTGAGCAATATTAAAGTTAGGCGTCGAGTGCTAGGTAAGGCGGGGAAATCAGTCGACGAGACTGTGAAATTACATCGATTGAGATGGTTAGGACATATGTTACGTATGCCTAGTCATCGCCTTCCCCGACAATGGGCAATGTTAGCTGATATAGGGTCAGGCTGGAAAAGAGCTAGCGGCGGTCAAACCAAAACATGGCACCAGTCAATGAAATCCACAACAGTTAGTCTAAGCCACGTAGGAAGATGTAGACTTCCTGGTTGGGGTCCTCGGGACGGTAAAAACCAATGGTTGGAAACAATTGGTGACATGGCTCAAAATCGTTCTCAATGACTGGCGCAGATGCATCCCTTCCTTGTGACTTATGATTTCCAATGGAACTGTTTTGTTCTTCGTTATTACTATTCCTTTTGTCTCACACCTTTGTTTACTGTCTATATTAGGCATTTCTCCTACTTTTTTCTCTTGCTTTGTGTGCTACAAGAAGGGAGTGTGGCGACTTGAACTTCCGCACATATGTGCAAAGTTCTATGTCGAAAACCGACCGACCGACATAAACGATATAGTTATTCAAAAGTGGTTTATGAAAGTGAAAAACGTTAACGTGTAGCACACAGAGACGACAACTGTTGAAGGAAGGGCTTGAAATTGGATAAGGTAAAAAGTGTACTTTGATTGGACACTAGTAACTAGTGTGATGTGTCTAGTGTTGTTTGACGGGAAGCAAGTTAGTTAAGTTTCCATTAGATAATTATGAGGAGAATGAGAACAAAATGAACTGACTAGTTAAATGTACAGAAGCAACATTTAAGAGTGATAACAGTGGATCGTTTGATAAAAATATAAGTCCAACAAGTACTTGGGAGTTCAAGATCATGATAAAATATAAGATAGAACAATCAGTTTTTGAACTTAGAGATGGTTTTTGAGTTGATGAGTTGCAAGTGTCGAAGACTAACATCGTTTGCCGATAATTTCGGAAGAGGACTGTTGGGGGGGGGACTGCGTTATCTAAATTTACCAAATACTTGAGAATCAAGCCAAATATTGTACTGTGATGAGTTCGAAAACTGCGCGCTGTGTATACAGCAAGTATAACTCACTCCACAGGCGTAAGTGAATTGCTAGACACATACTGAACTGACACAAACGACTTTTTTTTATTCATTTACGTTCCCATTGGAACATAGGGCTTCAAGCTGCAGGATTGGAGTTTCAGTAACGGTGGTATTTATTTTTACGGGATGGCGTTGCTAGCTTCGTTCCCCACCTTCTCTCTTTACGAGTCTTATTACTGGCCTAGCGAGGTAAAGGAGTGCGTCCGTGGCCTGGGATCGAACCCTGGACCACATGTGTGGTTGGTGAGTATTCAGCCGCTATGCCACCCACTCACAAACGTGTGCTCACTTCATATCTTGTTATTACATTCAATTTAACGGTGATTTCTGCTTTAATATGGGTAGGCTGAAGGGTACTCACAGAAGAAGATGGAAACTGACTGAATTTCCTCAACATAGAACTTTGCATAGAAGTGCAGCACTTCAACTTATCATACTCCATGCATCACACAAAGATAAGTAAAAGAGGAGAAACAGAGATTCAAAAGAAAAACTAGAGCGGGGGAGTAAGAATTATAACATGTAAAATGTGAGGGTTTAATGCATTTGGGGAATCACGTAGAGTGAATAAATCTGCAGCATTAACGATAGTTTTGAGCCATTGGTTCTTAGTATTCCGAGGACCCCAAGCAATCTGTCTAGATCTCCTTCAGTGGCTTAAACCAGTTGTCAAAGACCTTATGAACTGCTGCCAAGGGATAGTAGAAGTGGATGAAGAGAATCCTCGTCAAGAATTAATCAATTTTAGAATAAGTTGGTACTCTCTTTGTGGAGATGTGGCTTTTTAACTTTCGCACTTGAAGAGTTCAAATCCCGCGTAAACTACTTCAAGCTGAATGACTAATTGGTTTCATCAGCTATTATACATACAGTAAGTATGGCTCACAGCGTGGTACTGGGTTCAAACTAACTGAGATGTAATGAATGAATGAAGTACCATTCAACGGGCATGAGCATCATTTTCATGCAGTTGGCAAACAGCTACACCTATTGTTTGCGAGTTATCTAGTGATACTGCCCTCCTACGCAAACCTCGTTATGTAGAGCCGGAGTTCGAACCCCGTGTTCAAATGATTTGTAGGCAAGTGCCTACATGAATGAGCTTCTATCGGACCATATTGTCTTTGTCTTGTTGAAGTATCATAGCCACAGTCAAGGTATTTCAAGTGTTAACCTTCAAAAACCGATTAGAAACACAGGGAGTGCTATGAAATATGACTCACGGACTGGTTTTAACGTAGAACTTTGCACCGATGTGCAGCAGTCCGAGTCGTCACACTTCACTGAGCCCACAAAGGTGACAAATAAGAGGAAATGCAAAACAGAGACAATAAACAGAGATATGAGGGGAAAAGAATGGTAATATGGAGGAACCATATAATTTTATTGGATATTATAAGTCAAAAGTCGATGAAATATCATCCCAAATCAAGTCATGCCTGCCTTTTTGAACTTGGAGAGGATAGATATAGTATTCTGCTTATTTACTGTTTGGTAGGGTTGTGGTTTTTAAGATTAATGTTTAGGGTCTAGCGTTAAGGTTAGGGTTAGGGTTAAATTTAGGATCGGAGGTGTCAGAAATACCAATGGATCTCAAAGTACCGTGATATCTACAGTCATTTTGATGAATGGGTATATCGTGGATGGTACAATTTCTCTATAAATCATCTGTGTATTGACTAGGAGACATTCTTACAACACATAAACTATAACCATACATTGTAATATCATGTTTGCAGTATTTCAAAAAAAAATTTATTTTCCATCGATTATCCGACTTTTTTGCATCTGAGTTCTGATTGGTCGTTCAAGGTCACTGTGGTTTTTTTGGCTATGATAGCTCAACGTTGCCATTACTTTGTTTAACTGGGTCTTTTTTGTTATTGTTGCTGTTGTTGATTTTTCAAGAATGATGTAGTCTGTTTATCACGAGCACAATCACAAAAACTTGGTGGAATCGGTCAGCTATGCATCGTTACGAAGGTCTCTGAGTCAATTCACTTAATTGATCCGTTAACTTGTCAAGGTTAGTTTACCAGTCAGTCATACACACACACACACACACGTACACACTGTTTTCTGTTCTTATGTGTTAATTAATGAAATGACAATGGTATTTGCTTGTGTGATATTGTTAGACTGTGTATAATTGTTTCTGACATAGTGTAATCACTATGATCTACTATTTATGCTTCAGTCAGATAGGCTATTAGCTCCAACTACCGTTAGGGTATGTGATTAGTTGAAAAACAATCACGTCAAGTAATTACTAGCTAGCCATATCATCAAAATGATCTAACCATTGGACTGCTGTTTCTCTTGTTGGGGTGCGTAACTCATTAGCCAATGTACGTGGATTGACTCAACCCAGCGAGTAGAATTAATTCGTCTACACTTGCGAAATAAACGTTTGTAAAAACTGTAGGGACCTCCATTTCTGTGATCGTTGTTTACTTGTTGGAAAAAACAGTTGTGCCTTTTGCACACATAAGCTGTCATTCACGCAGTCTGGTGCAAACTGTCGTGTTCATCATACAATATGTTGTGTGTATGAAAAGTCAAGCATTCAAGTGGTGGATATTAAATACTTCGGTGATTTAGCGGTAGAACCACTTAAGTGATCCGGGGTTCTACCCCTGATCGGTTCACTTCTAGACCTCTCTTTGTTGGCTATAATCCCAGTAAAGAGGAAAGGTTGGGTGTGAGGCTAACAACCTTATCCCATAAAAAAAGGAACAACACCAATATCACCGAAACTTCAAAGCACTGGCTTGAAGTACTATGCTCCACTTGGAACGTAAAGGAATACCGTTGCATTGTAGTTACCAGCTATTACCTGACACGTATGACCATGGTTCCCGTGTTGATCGCACAACTGCGATACAGCCCTCGAAAGGGCAATGAAATTAAATGACTAGTGGTTACTGTGGAATGGGGAATATTTTGATATATCACTACTGGGTTGACCATATCTTGAAAATCGTAGGTTTCATCTTTGCCATTAGTTCAGGAGTTGGAAAACTCTTATGCCTAGCGACATTTACTCATCCAGGTGTAGTGGAGACGTGGTTCATTGACTTAAGCATTTGACCTTCCTCCAGTGAGTTTCGGACTTGGATCCCTCTCCACCTACTTTAGACAATATGACTCATAGCCGGAAACATGAATGATCTATTCGACATAGTGAATTCAGACAAGCTGTGGTTTAGTAATTTCACCTTCTGTCAAGTAGTTCAGGAGTTGGAAAACTGTGTTAAGTCCACTAATTTCTACTTATCCAGGTTAGGCACATCTACTTCTTATTCATAACGTATTATTCAAGTATTGATTTGTAGGGATTTGATTGATTGGTTACAGGATTTGATCATGAGCTGCTGACATCGGTTAGAGAACCATTGGAAAACCTGTAGGGAGTACTGGACAACTGTTTCATCCTAGTTTGGGACTCTTCATCAGTATGCACCCACCCCGTTGGGGTTCGAACCCAGGACCTTCTGGTTACAAGGCGAGCTTGTAGACCATTAAGCCACTGGGAACCGATCCAATGGCCAACGCATGAATTCCAACTTCTGCCAATTGACAACACAGCGCGACCACTAGCCATAACTTATTAGATGAAACGTATTTCAAAGCTGTCGTGTTATCAGCAAAAGACAAGTGACGATATTAAACGAGGCTAGAATTGTCTATTCTATGATTGCATGACTCAGTAGCAATCAGAAATATATATATATATATATATAAGAAGTGTCAGGTGCTTTGATTTAGGCGATCATGTGACGAAGAGACGAGAGACTATGGACAATCGCAGAGCCAGTTATAAAGGACCGCAGAGAGCATGGTGAGTGCTGATGAAGCCCTATATTTCACTGGGAATCCAAGGGAATAATAATAATAGTAGTAAATGCGTCACATACTAAGAAGAGAAATTGGAAATTTCGATAGAGAAATAAAGACCAGATTTGCACTATAAAATGATATCATCATTCTATTTCACAGGTTCTCATCAGCTTCAAACTTCCTGAAATTACAATGATTATAAATAATGACATTTCATACTTCAGTGTTTGAATGCTAATAAAGAAAAAATTATAAGATGAAGGCATCCGGAATATATAAATATACAAATTGACGGGGTCGCCATGGGTTCACCTCTTGGACCTATTCTAGCCGACATATTCATGGGTTGTCTCGAACAGACGTGACTGAGTGACGCTATCAATGAAACAACATACTATCGTCGATATGTCGATGATACGTTTTTTGTTTGTAACGATATGAGTCAGGCATCCTTATTATTTGACCGCCTTAATGAGATGCATCCAAACATTAAATTCACCATAGAGTATGAGCACAACGACGAGTTCAACTTCCTGGACCTAAGTGTAAAAAGAAGAAACAATGGAACAGTTGAAGAGTTCATCTACAGAAAAGAAACCTGGACTGGACAATACCTTCACTACAACAGCTTCTGCCCTATAAGCTATAAGCGGAGAATAGTAATTACACTGTACCACAGAGCCAGGAAGTTGTGTTCGCCTAACAAGGTAGAAGAAGAATTAGGCTTTTTTGAAAAATGCCTCAAAGAAAATGGGTATCTAAAAGGATTTATCCCAAAGTACAGCAAAGAAAGAGGTGAGAAAGCGAAGTATCCAAAGGAGAATCAGTATCATAAAAGATTGACAAGAGGATGAAAGGAGCAATAAAGAGATGCTTCCCTGCAGCCAAGCTGGTGACACTATACAGCACTACATGCTATATAAGCCAATTGAAACTGGATAAGTACCCTGCTGATGTTACCGCCAACTGCATTTATAAATTCACGTGCACCTGCGGCAGCAAGTACATTGGAAGGATATAAAGAAGGGCTTGTATCTGGTTTTTAGAGCATATTCCGAGAAACTTATGCTTAAAAGGAAGCAAATATTTACAAAATGCAATTACCAGACCTACCCTATGGATACGGGTCATTTTGTCGAGATTTCCAAATCCTTCAAAATATTAAACATACAAAGGACAGAGAATCTACTACGATTTGCTGAAGCAGTTGCAATCAAACGTCTCAGACCAAACTTATGCACACAGAAAGAGAGTGTAGTCAATCTCTCACTCCCTTGGTAACTGTATTACTGTGATTACACTGGTCAGTTATACACACTAGTGAGCTCAGCTCACTAAGCAAGTTTTCAATGTGATGAACTTTAATCTCTCTTCAGTTGCCATGTTGACGTACAAGCTGACACTCTTTATTAGATTTTTCTGTTTTCTGTCGTCTACTCACCCTCTACCCCCCATTTTTTCATAGTTTGGTAGCATATAAATTGATGGTAACTTTAAGTAGAAAATTGTAATACTTATATTCGGATGCGTTCATCTTATAAAGTTTTCTTTATTACCTTTGAAACATTGAAGTATTAAATGTTATTATTTATAACCATTGTAATTTCAGGTAATTTGCAGTTGATGAGATCCTGTGAAATAGAATGATAGCATCATTTTATACTGCAAATCTGCTCTTTCTTTCTCTATCAAAATTTATCAAGGGAACCAAATGTATGAAATTGGAGATTTTTGTACCATTTAGCTATAGGAATCTCTGTAAAGAAATATTTAAAAGTCATTTTGTAACAACAGAAGACAAGGGCCAGGCAACAGAACGTTTATTACGGAAAATCAACACGTATTTATAGATTTTGATGTACATTATTGTAGGTTAATGTTAGTAGAAAATACAGTCTGTTGATTGGTTGTTTCTCACACAAAGTTAACCTTGCATCTCTTGTGTCTGTGTCAGTTCATCTATATGTTAACTGTATCCGCCTGTCCATCTTGACCTTGTTTTCACATGACTAACATTGACCTCAATTACTGTCAACCAATTTGGCTAGCAACCATCTCTCACCACAATTTAACCTAGTGTCTTTTTTGTTGTTTATCATTATTCCTGTTCAATATATATTCTTATCTCTTTTCAGTTTGCCATGTTGACAGTAAAGCCTATTTCTCCTCTCCCTTCACATCGATAACAACACAAAAACACTTATCTCCATTTATTGTCCTTGAGATTGAAGAGGGAGAAGATGAAAGACGTCAGTCGAACTCTTCAAAAAAATCTTTCACTACATCAACAACATCATATCCAGTCGGTGCAAAATTATCCAAAAAACATTCACCAATATCAGTTTGGGTAATGAGAGATCCAACTGATGGTGGTGTAGACTTGGTTCAGTTGAATAATGAGTCTGATGAAGGCATGATTCATGCTAGATCACATCTTGGTCGTATTTTACATTCTGGAGATAAAGTTCTTGGGTAAGTCGACTGACTATGTGTGTTTGTGTGTGTGTATGTGATTCGCCTAACGTGTTATCATGATGTTTGTTTTCTTCTAATAATATTATTATCAAGGTGACAACTCGATACATTATTGGCACTAAGAGGAGCGCCCGGCATACCACTCGGATGTGGCCGCTGACAAAATGCAGAGTCTTCTGAACACCTTGAGCGGCAATCTACGAATGTTTGGCATGCGATACGCTCCCGCCAAATGCAAGATAATGTTACAGGATTGGACTACATCGACTACTAGATTAGAAATAGGAAGTGAAGTGGTAGAGCACGTTGACCGCTTCACTTACTTGGGAAGTACCATCAGCCAGCCCAAACGGGTTGATCTCTGACGTAATCTCAGCACGAATACAGAGGGCTAGTTTCGCATATGCCAGTTTACGCCGTCTCTGGATTAGACGTGATATCCGACTATTGACCAAAGGGCATGTGTACTGCTCAGCAGTCCGCCCCGTCCTCCTTTATGACTGTGAGACCTGGCCAAAGAGAGTGGAAGACATGAAAAGATTAGCTGTCTTTGATCATAGGTGTCTCCCGTGTCAGGTGGTATAATAGGGTGAGCAATATTGAGGTTAGGCGTCGAGTGCTAGGTAAGGAGGGAGGGGAAATTAATAGACGAAGCTGTGAAATTACTTCGACTGAGATGGTTAGGACATGTGTTATGTATGCCTACTGATCGCCTTCCTCGACAATGGGCAATGTTAGCTGATATAGGATCAGGCTGGAAAAGAGCTAGTGGCGGTCAAACTAAAACACGGCACTAGTCAATGAAATCCACAACAGTTGGTCTAAGCCACGTAGGAAGGTGTAGACTTCCTGGTTGGGGTCCTCGGGACGGTAAAAACCAATGGTTGGAAACAATTGGTGACATGGCTCAAAATCGTTGTCAATGGCTGGTGCAGATGCATCCACTCCTTGTGACTTATGATTTCCAATGAAACTGTTTTGTTCTTCGTTATTACTATTCGTTTGTCTCACACCTCTGTTTACCGTCTCTAATATGCATTTCTCCTACATTCTTCTCTTGCTTTGTGTGCTACAAGAAGGGAGTGTGGCGACTTGAACTGTTGCACTTATGTGCAAAGTTCTATGTGGAAAGTAGACAGACAGACAGATTGCTCAAATACCCAGATCAAAGCAGGTGATTGTCTTACGCAGTTGCCCTCCGAGCCTTTGACTTAAAATAGTCCGACCTAGAAGGGAGGGAGTGGAGCAGAATCACAAGAGTTACATTCCCATGGTCGGCAGTGACTAATATAGGTTCATACGCCATTTGATCGATTTGGATTCATTCTGGATCCCATGTAAATCATAGGTTTGAAATGAGGGTTTCTCATCACCTATGGATATCCACCATTCCGGTTATTAGTTCCAGACGTCCTCCTTCGCCTTTTCAATTCTGTGTGAAGCTCCCCTGCCAAGTGAAATCAGTGTATAGAACTTACCCGACAGAAGCTGTGTATGCATGGCGACTTGGGAGGATATCGAGAAGAAGATTAAAGTCTACCCACCCTCTGTCGTATCAGGGTTGTTTATAGGGGCTTTCTTTTGGTGTAATTCTAGAGAACCTGATCTGTTTTATTTCTCTGAAAACTGTTATCCTTTAAAATGTTTACGTTAATAATTAGTCGCTAATGTGTAAGCCATGTGCGTCGGTGGCATAGCGGTTAGAACGCTCGCCGACCATGCACATGGTCAGAGGTCCGATCACCGACCGACGCACTCCTTTACCTCGCTGAGCCAGAAATAATGCTGGTAAGGAGGAAAGGTTGGGCATGAGGCTAGCAACCCCATCCTGTAAAATAAACGCTGCTACCGGAACTTCAAGCCACTACCTTGAAGCCCTATGTTCCAAACATCGCAGGCAGGGTATGAGATAAACTAAATTGTTTTGTTTTACACATATATCATAATATTTCTGTTTATCTTGTTCGTGAAAATATGTATTTAAAAATTTCGTAAGTCATTTAACCCTTTTTCTTTCATATGCACATCTCTATAGGCTGGATTTGCGAAATTGTAATATTAATCATCCAGAATTTGAAAAATTACCAGAGGATAAAGTACCTGATGTCATTTTAGTATTACGACCTAGTCAACCGAAATTGACAAATGTTGATGAGAAGGAGAAGGCTAACGATGGTGGTCCGACTAAACGGAAACGTATTCGAAAACATTCATTCGGTGTAGCAGATTCTGAAATGGATACTGCTTCACAAGCAATGCATACCGAATGCTCATTATCATCATTATCCGACGATGACGATGAATATACTTCGTTTGATGATGAAGAAGACGAACACATAGAGGTAGAAAACGGCGCTGATGCGAAATTCAAAGATTTAGAAATGGATGTTAATTGGGAAGGTGAGTAGTGTCCTTTCCAAATGTTATTTCTTTTTCCACTGATTTTTATAATTTGTGGTTTGTACTACTGATAAGATTTACCAGTAGTATATCGATGTAGATTGATAGGAAGTAGTGGAAATTGAAAACAACATTTTTAGTAGCCAGTGGCTACAGAGGTAGAAGTGTTTATTTCTCATGTCTGGGTTTAGCTTACGTTGTGGTCAGGAAATAATCTCAAGGTTTAACCTTCATGCATTTATTCCCCTTGATGAATTTGAATAAAGCAAGAACAAAAGTGGTTTGTGCAGAATAATATGGTACCATCATTTATTTCGTCGGCTTCTCATCAGCTGCCCTCAGCCTAAATAAATTATGAGGTTTGCGTACAGAAAAGTTTTAACATACTTGCAAATTTTACATGATGTCAGTTGACAAAAAGTTCCACAGTAAGTGAACAGTGCTCAGAAAATTGCGCTTATATAGTTTTTTCACAGGCAGTTCAAGTTTAAACAAAATAGATGTATGCATACAATGGTAAAAGAGTTACGTAATAAAGACGAAATATGAGTTAGATACAGAGTGACTAATAAATTTGGTAGCGATGTACTGAGTTCAACTCAAATCATAGAAACAAGAGACAAGCAAAATTACAGAATATAAAAGGGGGTGAGGTTAAAGACAAAGATTACGTAATCAGATGAGAGAATAAAGATATTCAGTTACCAGGGCAAAGAAAGATTAATAACTGCTTCTTTCTGAACACATAAATCTGGTTTGAAGCGTTTGATAGAGATTGCTTCGGCAAACTTGAGGAGAATGGAGCTCCTTTGTCTATTGATAATTTTAAAAGATTTCTCGATTTCTACCTCATGACCCGTGTCGAGAAGATGTCTAGTGATAGCGCTGCCATAAGAGTTTGTTCCCTTGAGACGTAGGCTTTTTGGCACATGTTCAGAAAATCGGAGGTGTGCCCTTCTTTCTGTTCTCCCAATGTAACTGCTCCCTTCAGGAAATCGGCAACCAATCAGATTAGTTTCAACCTTCAAAAATCAACTACCAATCTGAACGGTTTATTATCCATTGACCCAGTTGACCCGAAATATAGCTAAAAATGTATAAATATGATGTGTGTTTCCTCAGGAGAAAAGTACGTTAGCAAGTGTCTTGTCTTCTGCCGTTACATCTTCTTCGTGGCTAAGTGAAGATTGAACTTCTACCTGAAGAACCGAATTTCGTTCTTTATGTTGTGTGCAATAGATATCCAAACTGATTTCACAGTGATGCATGTCTGTCTTGCCTTTCTTATTTTTGGTTTTGACATTGTCATTCATGCCATTCGCCTGCAGTTGGAGCGATGCTGCCTGGCCAGATAACTGAAGGAAGTGACCTCCCAGTAGATTATATCACTGATGAATGATTACATTTTTGTTTCATCCTAGTTTTATGACCCCTCAGTGGTACTGTTTGTCCACAATTTCTTGCTAGATAGAGATGAAGACTATCAGAGCACATATGACTGCGTGATTCTGATCCAAAGAGCTTGTGAGTTGGAAGTTCCTTTGTATCAATCAAAATTTGAACTGTCAGGAAATATTGTTAGCTCTCGACAAATAAGCATCATTGACTATCACGTTGATTTGTATTCACCGTTGTTATTATCATTATTACTATTGCATTATCGTAGTTGTAGATATGTACACACAGTCATTCTGTTCTTCTCATTTTCTTTTCACGTTTATATCCACAGATGCTTGTGAGGAACCGAATCACCCTTGAACTAAGGCCTTCAGCTGATGAGAGTAAATGGCTTTTTATCTCTCTCTCTTGTATGACTTGTTTTGTATTTTATATCTTGGATTCGCCTTGCCTTTGCTTTGTTCCGCATTCACTAGACCCCCCTTTTTGTTATTGTTTTGAGATGATTTGTTATCAGTCTTTCATCTCAAATATAGTTTTACTCTGTAAATTATTATTATTATCACCGTTATCATCATTTGAAGACAGTAAATATATCGATCAGTTTTCTTTTGGATCACTCAAGTGTTTTACTCGCTTTTCCTGTTTTACAATTTCACAGCGTTTCTGATTTGTTAGAATGTGTGCGAATTATGCATCAGTGCCTGTGCAAAATTGGTAGGAGCCAGTAGTTGCACTTACCGTCGTGGATAAACTGTTTGAAGTAGTCGGTAGGTTCGTGTATCTAGGTAGTTGTGGGAATAATGGCGACATCAATCTAGGCCACCTTTGGCCGCTGTCACGACTTTAGATTGGTCGTAAAATGTCGCATTCACAATGCTTGCTTGCTCTCAGGCTGAGGGTGTGCGGCGACTCCGCATATTTGATCATCGGTTTCCCTGTAGAATCACTCGTAATCATCATAGTCATCGTGTAAGTAGTTCCGAGATCTGGCGGCGTGTACCTATGCATGGCAGAGACCGTCTTTCACAGTACAGTAAGCGTCCTGATTGTGGAACACTGGCTTCGGTGAATTAAAGATGTGCTATGAATGTTATCCCCGCCACCCTCTTACCGTTCACTGTTTGCTTGCTCTGTGACTTGGTGAAAAAAGTGGAGGGGTCGTGAGCCGAAGATGTGACGCTGTGGGATGAAGGATAGTTGTGTTGGGTTAACATCTATTCGTGCATTACGAGTCTTTGAGTGAGTCCGAGTCAGTGACCCGAGATGTTAGTGAATTTCGTCGAGTATCGTGCAATCAATGGTGAAAATGGTGCAATTTCCACTTTTTCTTTGCTTTCTCAAGATAAAATGAAATAATAGATTCTGTTTAAATACTTTTGATTAGTATTGTGTTTTTTGCTTTCCATTGTGTCATTGATTTTTGTATGGTGCATCTCTTGGTTCTCATATTGTACCATGTTTGGTGCTTAAATAAAATAAATAATCATGGTCAGCTGTAGTAACATCAGGCTTATGTTGCTTTAGAATCTTGAACGTCAGTAATAACAATGTTTATAATGATAACAAAATAATGATAATAAGGTTTATGCAGGTGGCGATAAGAATAACAAAGGTAGTAATATGTATCTAAACAAATAATGAGGTCATATCTTAAAAGTTACGTAATATTAAAGGTGAAGTGGACAGTTAATCAGAGTTTAAATAAATAACATAAAAGTGCGAAGGAAATGGAAACTAAGATAGGGTGGGAGGGTTTTAATTAGACTTTACCTAGGCCAAAGGAGAGACAAAGATAGAACAAACGTCTTTTTTATGCAAAGACCGGGATTGTTCTCTCGAATAAATTCCCATAGCTTCGGCTGTGTGTTTAACAGTTGGGGTCGAATTCCGTTCCGCAGCAGATAACTTTGAATGCATTACTTCTGTCCACTTGGTGACTGCTATCAATCAAATGAGACAAAATAGAACTTTTTATAGATTTTACTTGACCTTTTCCGAATCATGAAGGAAGATGCTCAATAATACGTTTGCTGAGCTGTCTAGTAGCTTTCTCAGGAGTAGCTAAATTTGTAGATACACACAGAAGTGGCACAGCTAGGCAGCTTATCTTTCACTTTCGAAATCATAATTGGTCGGCTAGAAAATGATGAACAAAGGGTGGCGTCAGTATAAGTTCATTTTATTGCTCTAGATAATCTCAGATGTAAGACTTCACTAGCCACATCCCTGATTAAATTTCAGATTTTTTTCTTGTGAAGCTTGGAAATGGTCCATTGAAACAATTAATAGATAAAATGAATAAGATAAGCAATGGATGTGCATCATTAAACATTTCATTCTTATCAGCTTTTTCATCAAGAATAATGAACGTTTCATCAATATAATGAAAATAAGATTCCATTTTATGTATTACTTGTGAATTGGAGTAAAGCCTGAAGAAGATCTAATTGGAAAGACAATGGTTCGCTTATATGTCTTGTTCTAATATGAATAATGGAATATATTTAAAGGTTTTAGAATCTTACGTGGTACATGATAGATAAAAGATGCCTGGATATAATAGAATAAAGCTTTTTACATTCCCTATCTAAGTCATGGTTACTTCTGTTAGAAGATATATTTACGAATGAAGTGACACCATTTTGAGTTGTTTCAGTCCACACTGCTATCCCTCTAATAGTGCTAGCGAAATTTTATTTGTTTCTCCTTAGTACACCATACTACTGGTTATTTGTGAGTAGCATGGTACATATTTCTTAAATTTCTTTCGAAATTCAGTCTCCGTACAATTTTGAGCCGTGCATCATTTTTGGGCCTCAGAGCATACAATCTCATACTGAATAACGTTTACGGCGGCTTACTTGAATCACTGGACAACTAGAATCTCCATCCGACACAAGGCATGTCTAATACCTATTGTTTTAATCATCCAATTACATTCGTAGGTCGCCAGGTATACTCACTCACATTTTCAATTGACTTGCAACCTACTGCTGTTGCGCATTTCTCCGCAACTTAAGAAGAAAAAAAAATACTATAAGGAATTATTTTATTCTTCAGATTGAATAGCATTGTTTCACGTGATATACTTTAGATTGCTGTTTCACTTGAAGATCCTGGATGAAGAGGAGATGTTACACAATAAACTGCTCTGAAAATTCTGTATAATGTGTAAACATAATCACTAAAGGAAACGAGTTAGATAAAACTCACAACTTAATAAACAACGTCTTCAATGACATCAAATTCACAAGAGAAGAGGAATCAGATAACCAAGTTCCATTTTTAAACGTCTTAATCAAGCGAACAACCACAGGGGAATTAGAAACTCAAGTTTATAGAAAATCAACTCACACAGACTAAATACTGAATTATAACAGCAACAATCTAATAACACACATAAGGAATTGCATACAAACACAATTCAAGAGGGCCAGCCAAGACTCATTGTAGCACTCCCACCTTAAGGAAGATTGAAGAAAGATATATCATGGACGTTTTCAAAAAGAATAAATATCCGCGGAATTTCATGAAAATACATCTACATCCAAGCCAACCTATCAAACCAAAAACCCGCAAGGAAAGCATAAAGAAAATCACCCTACCACATATTAAGAACAACTCAGAAATCACTGCAAGACTCTTGAAACCCTTAAGAATTGATTTCAAACACAAACCGACAAAATCACTTCACTCGGCTGGCTCTATGTCAAGCAAAAGACTCAACAACGAAAGAAGATAAAAACAGCATCATCTACAAAATAAATTGTAACAACTACGAAAAACACTACATTGACTAAAGTGGGCGTCCCTTTCGTCTTCCTATCCACGAACATAAGCTAGCCGTCCAAAGACATGATATCCTCTCCCTCATATCACTACATACAGACAACCACGGACATCAATTCGACTGGGACAGCGCTCAAATATAAGAAGGAGGAAACAACAAGAATGGTAGAGAATTTTTAGAAGGCTTCCTGGTATTCCAGTGTATCGTCAATCAATAGACACATCGATATAAACAAAATTTATCAATCGATAAGAAGGAAATCTTACACACAAAGGGTCGAAGTTCAGGTCAAGGAAACAATCAACACCAATACCAATACAAGTAGCTTAGAGGGTGTGAAAACACACAAAAACAACCAATCACGACGTGCAACGTCACCCACGAGGTGAGATGACTAACAAACTAGTGCAGAAATCCAAAAGCTCACTTCATCGAATTGAAGTATGCGCTGAAGATGTCGCCTAGTAGGGCGATGAAAGCTTCTCAAATAAACTATCCAGCTCAGAGAACACAACCATATCAAAATGTGTAAACGTTTTGCGCAGAATAAAGCTGTTATTATTTATAGAAATTATTAAAAAGTCATTAGGATAATTTTTTTTGTGAATTGTCTTCAGTTCTAGTCATTGTCATTTAAAAAAATATATATATATCCGCACACAAAAGGTTTGGCTCTCAGCAGCTTCGCAGACCAGTTGTTTTTAGCGTTTAATTGAACTTGATATAGCCAAGCCAAGCATTTGTAAAGTTGTTTACTTTGATTGGACACTAGTCACTGACTAGTGTAGAGTGTTTAGTCCTTTGTTTGGTACAGACTGAATTCTATCACTCAGGTTTGCAATGTGACCACCATGACGGTGCACATTGATTTGATGATATTAAATGGTTGGGGCAATCGGTCACACGAAGCCTTGCTTGAACTAGGTTTCGTGCTAGTTGGCACTCACCAGTCAGTCAGCAAGGCGTATCTGCAACCTCCATGAAGGAACCCATTTCCCTTCTGAGATTCATATTTAAGATATTTCATGCACATTTTATGAACAACTTGTATGGTAGGTACTACTGAGAACAATAAGTGACTGGCTGAATTTCAGTGTAGAAATTTGCGCAGAAGTTCAACATCCCACACTACGTATTGCACACAAAAGTAGAGAAAAGCGACTGAAAAGGATTATAATGAGTAGAAATGTGTAATAGAAAGCATAACATAATAACGCCCACCCAAACATCGACTTTATACTTGAGACTGAATCCGACAGAATGTTCCACTTCCTCGACGTCCATCTGACAAGAAACGCCAACAACTCTCTTAAAAGGTCCATTTACAAAAAGCCTACATGGAATGGACAATTCATCAACATACAAAGCTTCGTGCTCCTAAGCAGAAAGAGGAACCTGATATACGCTCTTTCCTCGAGGATCCGGAAGATATGCAGCGAGGGAGTGATTGAAGAAGAACTGCGTAATCTCCGAAAAGCCCTGATGGAAAACGGCTTCCCGCCCAGGTTCATAGACAAGAATCTCAAACCTAAGAAGACTTCCGAACAAGTCGAATCCGTTCCGAAGAAAATACTTCTGCTTAATCTAGAATTCAAAGGTGATATTGAAGCAGAAATCCTCCGTAAACGCCTCTCCAAATCGCTGAGGAAAACACTTCGCCACGAGCCTACGACTAACGTTTTCCTGCAAGAAACTGTTCGACCAGAACGCGAAAGACAAGCTGTCGCATTGGGCCACTTCAACGTGCATATACCAGTTTATTTGCTCTTGCGGAGCTGAGTACATCGGCCGTACCATGAGCCGACTTGAAAAACGCGCTCGTGAAC